GTAGGTGGGGAGTGGGGTGGGAGCTGCTGCTGCTTGTGGTGATGGTGGTGGGGGTAGATGGCGGTGGGGGGGAGCTGCTGGTGGTGGTGATGGTGGTGGTGGTGTTAATGATATCAGAGAAAGCTTTCAGTTAAGATGCCTTTAACTGAGGAATCCCCAAGAGCTTGCCATCCTGCCAGACTCACCTGGGAACTCTATTCATGGGGTCCAGGCAAACAAGGCCAAGCTGAGGCCAACAAGGCAAACAAGGCCAAGCTGAGGATTGTAGTGTCTGCTGCAGGCCCGGGAGCTTTAAGCTTCACCACTTTGCCTGCCGGTCGCTGTGAGACTCTAGCAGTTCGGTTTTCTTACCAGGGACACTGAGTGCAGTCATTGCCACCAGCTTCCTTTCCTCCAGAGGTGTTTATGAGTGGCATATAAGTTTCTGGATGGGTACGGGTTCGGCAGTCTGTAGAGTTCTCCATACAGCGCCTGCAAAGCCCCTGTGCTCCTCTGGGCCTGTGTTCTATGTCTCCAGGCTGAGCAGGAAAGGCATCGGTGATGATGGCTGATGTCTTTCCAATGCTTTTCAGAGCTGCTGACAGCGTGGAGGAGCTGGGGAAAGTTGCCTGCCCGTCCCTTCCCCCAGATTCCAAACAACTTTGTCAGGAGAAAATGATGGGGTGGAGGGGTATCTCTTCAAGTAAGCCCTTCACTTCTTAGCGTCCCCCTTCACACACTTCCACACTGCATAGGCAACTCCAGGGGAAAGCTTTGGACCCCCAAAGATGGTATTCAAGGTATCAGGAAATATTTTAGGATGGCAGCAGGGAGATTACCCTAAATCAGATACCATGAATTAAGAGTCTCATCCAAACGCGAGATGATGAAACTCTCGAATGAGCTGAGGCCTTTCTCTGTGTGTCAGAACCAGGAGGGCTACGGGCAAGCTGAGAGGGGTGGCAAGCTGATGATCCTTCATCTTTGTTTTCCTCCCCAAGCTTGAGACACGACCAGATTGGAGACGTGGGTACCCAGAACTTGGCGGCCATCTTGCCAAGGCTTCCAGGGCTCAGGAAGTTAGAGTGAGTCACAGCCCTTCTGAGAAGAGCCCACAGGGACAACACCATGCTCCTGGGAGACACTGGACCCTGACCCAGGCCAGCACGGGAAAGGGGAATCTCTCCCAGCCTTGTTGCTGGGGAGGGGGAGTTTGTGATCTCCTAGGCCCTGTTCTCTGGGTCTTTGTGTTTCATCACGATGGAGTCATGGCTCCATCTCTTGAACAGATGCAGTAGGGAGGGATGAGGGAGGAGAGGGTCCAATAACCTTGCCTTCCACAGCCTCTCGGGGAACAGCATCGGCCCAGAAGGGGGAGTGCCGTTGGCAAAGTCTCTGATCCATTGCAGGTGCTTGAAGGAGATCATGTGAGTATCTGTCCAGGTGGGGTATCCCACAGGCCCGCTGGCCCCCTTGTCCCCTCAGAGCAGGGCCGAGTGGGGCCTCTGAGCAGGCTGCCCATGCGCATCCCTTCACCCTTTCTTCTTTCAGTCTGGGCAACAATGCTCTGGGGGACCCCACGGCCCTGGGACTGGCTCAGAGATTGCCCCCACAATTGAGGGTCCTGTGGTAAGTGTCTTCCTGCCAACCGCACATACAGAGCAGTAGAGAGGGGACCCAGGAGAAGCGTGATCCAAGCAACCCATAGGTTGAGCAGCCTAGCCTGAGATTTGAATGGCCCCTTCTCTGCTGCGGCTCCCCAGTCCCCAGACTAAGCTTAATGTTGACCTTACTCATTGTTGCTGAGAGCTCCGAGCCAAATTTCTGCCCCTTCTGAGTCTCAGTTTCCTCATTTGTAAAAAGATGCTACCAATCTAAGCTTTCCTGCCTAAGAGCAAGTCTCTGAAGGTGTTTGAATTAATGTTAGCAAAAGGCTATATGCAAAAGCTACAAGGGTATTGTTCCATCCTCTATAGGTCAAGACCAGGGCTTCCTGAGTTCCAGGCAGCCCTGGGGCTGCGATTCTTGTGTATACCATTTTCTAGGAAAGGTCTAAGACTAGAAACAGGATGGAAATCTTGACTTCCTAGTACATGAAAAAGCCAAGGCTTGGATTTAGCATCTCAGACCCCTAGGTTAGGGAGGGATCTTGGCATTCACTGGATCCTTTGTGGGCAGGGACAGGGTCAAAGGCCAGCTAAGGTTGCTGCTACAGTCAGAGGCACAGTTGAGAATGTGAGGCTAAGGGAAGGCTCCCAACCCCAGAGTTGGCCCCAGGCTCCTCTTACCTTTTTCTTTCCAGTCTGCCGTCCAGCCATCTGGGTCCTGAGGGGGCCCTGCGCCTGGCCCAGGCCCTGGAGCAATGTCTACACATAGAAAAGTTCAGGTGAGGCGGGCCCTACCTGGGCTGAGAGACAGGTTGGGGAGGGTCTGGGGCAGTTCTGACTCCTGTCTACGCTGCCCCACAGCTTGGCAGAGAATAACCTAGCTGGACGTGTCCCACATTTCCGCAAGAGTCTCCCACTGCTCAGACAAATTGAGTAAGTAGCCTTCCCTGGTTGTCTGGGGCCCTGTAGGAGGGCCATTGAAGAGATGGGACTTAGAGCTGGGGGTGGGGGAGAAGATGATTTTCTTAACCCCCTGGCCCTGGCCAGGCCACTCTGGTCCCTCCTGCTGTCACTATGGGAAAGGGAGTCCTGCTAGCGGTGGCCCTGTCTCAGAGAGCCATCACCATTCCATCCTAGCCTCATTTCCTGCAAAATTGATGACAAAGTTGCCAAGCACCTTGCTGCCAGCCTCATGCTCTGCCCAGCTCTGGAAGAAATCTTGTAAGTGCTTGCGAGGGCCCTGAGTTGGGAAGAGTAGCTGCCTCGGGGGCTGACCCTGCCTACTGTGTGCTGGAGTTGGCCCTGCCGCCTCTCAGCTGGTCCTCCACTCTGGAGATGGGAAGCCCTATCTTGCCCCCCAGTCTTACCTCCATGTACTCCAGCAACACAGGGCAGAGCCACTGAACCTACCGCTCCTACCAGTTTTTCTCCTTGTGTTGTGGTAAGGGTGTTGAGTCACACAGTCTGCAAAGAGTTTTCGCTTCCCTTTGGGGTGCTTTTCATGGTTTATGGAGACTCTACTTGTGAATAGCTATTGGTAATGCAGAAGGTAGAAGCTGGTAGACAGTCACACACACACACACACACACACACACACACACACAAACCAACACACTGGCTGTGATCTCTTTGACCATCCCACTGCCTCAGACCTTAGACTCTGGCTGCACTGCAAAGGTGTCAAACCTGACTGTGGGACTTGAGGCCCGGAGCATTGAGCAGAAAAAAGTTCTAACTCCCAAAGTACAGGGCACAGAGTGCAGGAGAGCTTCTGGGTCTGTACCCTAATGAGTTTGGGAAGATTTGTTTGTTTGTTTTTTCTTTCTTGGGGATAGAACTCATGCATGTCAAGTGAGGATTATACATTGAGTTACACACTCAGTCCTCAGCGCTCTTAGTTCTCAATTCTCCTCTATATGTCACAGGTCAGCCCTTGCTGACTTTGAACTCGGTTACCAGTGACCCTCCCCTTTTAACCAGTGGGAACAGCACAAGGAACTGAGGACCCTGGGAAGGACCTGGGTCCACACTGGAAGCTCCGCCCTTAGTAACACTGTATTCAATCTCTTCAATACTTTCCCTTCCATCACACGTCACACGGAGCTTCCACAGACAGTAGAGACATATGCGTCCATTGAAGATTAATTCCTTAAAGCAAAAACACTGTGGGGGAGGTTTAAAAAATATGACACTATCACGTGGGAAGCAGGCATTGCAGCAAGGTGCTGCTTGCTTGGTGTCCATTGTGTCATATTGTGGTTTCTGAGGAACATGTTGCTCAGGAATTGGGATAGGGTGGGGCAGGTAGAGAGGAAGGAATGACCTGTGCCCTGAGAATTCTTCAGGGTTGGGGGCTGAAGCGGCTGGCTGAGGAACCCCTCTTGTGCCCGATCCTGCTGGCACCTAGTGCTCCCTACTGCCTTCCTTTTACCCCACTGCCCTCCTGCCTCTGAGCTTACCCCTCCTCCACTCTGCAGGCTGTCCTGGAACCTTCTGGGTGATGAGGTGGCTGCTGAGTTGGCCCAGGTCCTGCCACAGATGGGGCAGCTGAAGAAAGTGGAGTATGACACCCTTGGGTGGGGAGGGTGCAGAAGGGACCCCCATCCTAAATAAGCCCAGAGGTTACTGGGCTATCCCTTCCTCCCAGAAATCTGTCCAGAGTCTCTGAAGACTCTGGCTGATCCCAAGTCCCTGCCAATCTTAGTTCTTCCCATGTTCAAGATGTTAGCCTTTCTACTGCCCCACCACGAGTCTGAGTCCATTGCTCTATGCTGGCAGTGTGGGAGGGGGTGACCCTGTCTTGCCTGAGGTGGGATGTAGAGAAGGAAACCCCACCCCTAGCCTCATACTTACCTCTCTTTTCCTCTTCCTCTGCCCCTGTCAACTGCAAAGCTTGGAGAAGAACCAAATCACAGCATGCGGAGCCCAACTCCTGGCTCAGGGACTGGTCCAGGGCTCCCGTGTGCCAATCATTCGGTAATGAAGGGCTGGGCCTTGTGGTAGCAGACCACAGAGCCCCGACAATCAGGGCCTGAGCTGAGAATTATCCAGGGAGACTTGGACAATCCCATTAGGAATTTGGCAGCCAGCAGACCTGAATCAAATCCCAGCTCTGCCATTTGCTGTGTTGACTTGGCATCTGTAACTTCAGGTCCCTGAACCTCATCTTCCCGACCTGGGAGGGTGTAAGGACTAAAGAATGGATAGGGCAGAGTTCGGGACATAGCCAGCTCTCAGGGGGCAGCACCATGTTCGGGTGACTGCATGGTGTATACTGCCTCCACTGGGTGGCATGGATGGACGACCCTTCTGCTTGAGGCCTTGATCTTTAACCCTGTAGGTAGGTTAGAAGCAGAGCCAAGAGGATGAGGGAACAGCTCTGGAGCTGAGGCCCGTGTCTATGTCCACAGCCTCTGGAACAACCCCATTCCTGCCGAGGTGGCTCAGCGTCTACAGAGCCTGGAACCCAGGTTGGACTTTGCCTTCTTTGACCAGCAGTCCCAGGCTCTTTGAGGAATTGATGGATCTCTCAAGACTCTTGGGACCAGCTCAGTGACAACCACATCACCCACCAGGAAAAGGGGCTCAGGAGAAGAGCGTCCTATGAATGCCCCAGCGGGGAAAGAGTACGTTTGTTTTATCACGATCCTTAGGGAGAACTTTCTTGGGAACTGAGAGCTTTGACTAAAAGAGGACCATACATCATACATGACATGTGTTACCAGTGGGACACTGGCACACTGAGAGTACTATGATGTCATATATGACAGGGAAGGCTATGTATGGTGCACTGTGACCAAGACATGGAAGGTCATACTCAAGACAGAGTAGGTCATCTATGTGACATTACATGGAACTTATAGTGAGTGTGGTATCTGGTCAGTGGCTCTTAGTACCGTGAATGGTGGTACATGTGATCAGGAATCCGCCTATGACATGCTGTCTATATCACATAACACTCAGCTTGCCAGGGGACCACAGGCAAGTCCAAGACCTAATTTATTACTATTTAAAAAATATAAAACGAGGTGAATAGTCTAGGCTTCATAGCTGTTTAGGAATCTGAGGCAGAGGGATTGCAAATTTAATAAACTCCTGTCTCAAAAGGTCAAAAAGGACTGGGATGCAGCTTAGTGGTAGAGTGCTTGCCTAGCATGTATGAATCCTAAGCTGAATGCTCAGTGTCCTTTTCTTTTCTTTTCTTTTTTTGGTTAGGTTTTTCGAGACAGGGTTTCTCTGTAGCTTTGGAGCCTGTCCTGGAACTAGCTCTTGTAGACCAGGCTGGCTTCGAGCTCACAGAGATCTGCCTGCCTCTGCCACCTAAGTACTGGGATAAAAGGGGTGCGCCACCCCTGCACAGCCCAGTATTATTTCTTTAAAAGTATTTATAAGTGAATCTGGAGCAGCTAAGTGATAGCATTTGTGCCCTGAGCTGGGAGGGAGAGAACTGGCTGACTCAATAGCCTGTAGTCAGGGCTCTGGGCATGCCAAGGACTCAGCATAAAGTCCCCTCCTGCCAGAGCTCGGTTCTCCCTTCTGTTAACTGGTAGCCCTCCCTTCCCAGTCCAGGCTTAGGAACTAGTTTGATCTTGGGACATCAAACTCACCTGTTCTTTCCTGGTATAAGGGACAAAGCCAAGCCAAAGGGTTCAGGGATGGGTACTTCCAGGACATTAGGCAAGGCCACTGGGCCCACCCACTACCTCAGCAGGATTCTGAAACCCCTTGAGGCCCCGTGTTTTTTGTGTCTTCCAAGAGGGGGAAGGATAGCCTCGGCACACTCCAAGTTAAACGATCAATAAATGCAGATAGTCCTCCCACCTGTGGCTGGTGTCTGATACGTGTCTCGCTACCCCGCTGCGGTCAGGAGTGCACCACCTCTGCGCTGTGGACTGCAGAACCGGAGAGATGACCGAAGGGCACTAGGATGGGCAGTGGTGGGAGTTACCGGTCATGCGACCGCCAGTAACTCACCCTGCCTCACCCGCCACACGAGGCTGTTATCAAAGCTCAGGTGATAGAAACAGGTTTGTTTGACCGACGTAATCCTTAAAACTCTTTTCTGAATTAATGATCCGTATTTAAATTTGGGGACTTGTATGTAAAAATCTCAACTCTGGCTTCTCAGGAGCTAGTCTAAAGGCAGAGAAGCACATGCTTGTAACCCCAGCCCTAGCACATGGGCTACTTGGGGAGGGGAATCAGAAATCCAAGGTCCTTCTCTGCTACATTTTGAATTCCAGGATAGCCTGGGCTATGAGAGACTCTATTGGGGTGGGGGAGGGCCTACTCCAGCCCACCCACTTCAATGTCCAAGGCTATTCTGACGAAGCCACATGGATGTGACCTTCAGATGGGGCACACATCCCTTGGGCTGCTCGACAAGGCCTCTCCTGTCATCTTGACTCCTTTGCTTTTTTGCCTGGCCCAGAGTGTGGCACATTTGGAACGTGGTTGATAATGGGATGTGACTTGGCCTCTTGCTACCTATCTTGGCAAACTATTTTTTTGGTTTACACACACACACACACACACACACACACACACACACACACACACACACACA